GCCAAACTCAGACGTGTTTATACACATTCTGAAGCCTTGGGGTTGTATAGTTCAAAACTGAAAACAAAATTCAGTTTGGACAAGTTTGGACCAAGTTATGATCAATTTTCAGAAAACCTACATTTTTCGAAACGTGCCGAAATTAAGATCAATCGTCGTTTTTTTTTAAGCGAAAGTAGTTGTATCCTTTTCAAAACATTACTAGCTTTAAAATAAATATAAACAAGCCTAGGTTTGGCGCAACTCGAATTTCGACCTCTTCGGCCTTTCGGCCGCGGTCGAAATCCAAAGTTTTCCAAATCTTGTCCTGTTTATACTCATTTTATAGCTCTTAACCTGCAAAACGTGAATGTTTGAACTAAAACTGGATATGTCAATTTTGAACCAAGTTATGGTCAATTTTCAGAAATCCAACACTTTTTTTAAATAGCCCGAAATTAGGCACATGTGGCTTTGACTGATAAAAAAATGGTTCTTATCGGCTTCAAAACGTTAAGATCTTTAAAATGAGTATGAACAAGTCTAGGGTCTGAAAGTTTTGGATTTTGGCCCAATTTGGTCGAAGCGGTCGAAGCGGTCGAAGAGGGCCGAAATTCAAGCTGCGCGACACCTAGGCTTGTTTATATTCATTTTGAAGCTTGTGAGATGGCAAACACAAATTCACTAACTAAAACTTGATCAACTCAAAATTGGGCGGGTTACTGTAGTTTCAGACTTCAAAACAGCAAAAAATCTTTTATGGACCATAACTAGGCTCAAAATGGTCCGTTTTTCCCCAAATTTTTTGAATTTCGTCTAGGATTTTTCTGAGAAACTCAAAACTTACATTGATCATGTGATCATTCCACTCTTGTTGCGCCATGTACTGTGGAAGCACCGGGAAGACACGAAGGAGATGGACAAAGCCATAGTGGGCGGACGGGCGGAAGCCCAACTCGTGCAAACGGTGCAAATCGTCAGTGTCGGTGATTCCGAGACGTTTGCACTCCGCGATGAGCAATTTTCGGTATTGGACGCGTTCGCTAGCGTAGAACAAGGAGCTGGAAGAGTTTTCTGTGATTTTTCCAAAAAAAAATGTTTTTTTGAATTTTTCAAATCTGCCTTTTTGGGCCTAAATGATTTCAGTCCTGATTTCAAAAAAATTTCCCCAAAAAAAACCAACGCACCAGATGTGAGCATTGAAATAGTCCTGAATCGAGCGAGCGGCAAGGACAAAAACCGCTTCTGGAAGCTTCGCCTCACTGTAATTCTCCTTGGACGACACAACAATTTCATTCCACTTTTCGCTCTTCTCATCGTATCCCGGTGAGCACACTTGGCTGATGTACTGAAAAAATAGCGATTTTCAGAGTTTAAAATGAATCTAAGTGGATTTTGAGTTGAAAATTCGGGAAAAGCACAAAAAACTGATCTAGAAAACTTTTTGGAAAGATCAAATCCCTCAAAATACGGGAGTTGTACCAATGGAAGAGATTTGGGGAAAGTTAGGCCATTATCAGAAATCAGCCCCAGAGCCATTTTTAGGGTTTTCTTGGCGCTTGGATACATTTTCTAAAAAATGTTGGTCACTTTTGATATTCTAGAAGGTCCAGGATGGTTTTTAGGGTCGTGGCCGAGGTTTTGGAAAAGTTAGGCCACCACTAGAAAATCGCTCAAAAACGAACGTCTAGGGTTATTTTTGGTGCTAAGCTCAAATTTTGACATTTCTATAGCGTTTTTGAAGTTTTTAAGGGTCCACAGTTGTTTTTGGGGTGGTGGCCGAACTTTTTCAAAATTTGGTTTTCTAGGCCATGTGTCAAAAATAGTTTTTCGGGCCATTTTTTGGTGGTTAAATCGAATTTCGCAACTAGAAATGATGTTTGCAACTCTGAATTCGTAAAAAAACGAGTTTTGGCATAGTGGCCGAGTTTTTGCAAAAGTTAGGCCACCAACAGAAAATCGCAAAAACACTGATTTTTAGATCATTTTTGATGCTCAAATTAAATTTCAAGCATATTCTGGCCGTTTTTGGCATTCCAAGGGGTCCTGGGAAGTAATTTTTGGGGTGGTGGCCTAACTTTTTCAAGAAATTGGTTTTCTCGGCCATGAGTGAAAAATTGGTTCCTAGGACCATTTTTCGGTGGTTAGATTGAATTTTGCTATCAGAAATGATGTTCACAAGTTTTAATTAGTTGGAAAACAATTTTTAGCACGGTGGCCGAGGTTTTGCAAAAGTTAGGCCACCACTTGAAAATCGCTCAAAACCAGATTTTCGGAGTTCTTGGTGGTGCCAAGATCGAATTTTAACCCTTTAAAAGAATTTTTTGAAGTTTTACAAAGGTCCAGAGCCATTTTGAGAGTGATGGCCTAACTTTTTTACAATTTTGATTTTCTAGGCCATTGGTGGAAAATGGGCTTTTTTGGCTGTAAAATTGATTTTAGGCCGAATTTTATCGGGGAATTTGAATTTCCAGCTTTTAAAGTTGTTCTAAGTAAAATTTGAGAGCCCCAGGGCGGTTTTGGAGTGGTGGCCGAGTTTTTGGAAAATTCTAGGCCACGGGGCCAAATTTGTCAATTTTGACCAAAAAAATAAGGTTTCTAGGCTAGAATTCTGTGAATTTTTGGATTTTTTAGCTTAAAATCGCTGGTTTTGACTCGGAAATCCAGAAATTTCCAAAATCTTCGGAATCTAAAAATTGGCCTATTTGACCCACTTTTCGGATCATTTTCACTCAATTTTCAAGATTTTTTGCACATTTTTTCTGCCAAAAAAACTCACATCCTCCAAAATCTTATCAATCGTTGTGTCGACCGGCAAACGTGCCTCATATCCATATCCAATGATCGTGTAGTCCTCACCAAGGCATTTGCTAAGACGTTGAGGGATCGGAATCTCGATTTCTTCCGATGTGACCGCTTGGGTGGGAAGTGACTGATGACGTGGCAGCAGGACAGGCTTAGTGGCCTCTTGAGCCGCCTTCTGGGACGTGTGGACCTTCTTCGGGGGCTCTGGAGCCTGGAATTTGGGCTTGGGCTCTTCTTTGGGCTCCTCTTCTGACTCATCCACCTCCATTGGCTCCTCATCTTCAGCTTCCGATTCCTCAGATTCTTGAGATTGTTCAGCCTTCTTGGGGGCAACTTTTTTGGCGGAAGGAGCAGCCTTCTTCTTGGAGATCGGCGTTGATTTTGAAACTTTTGCCACTGGAGTCTTTTTGGCCGAGGTTGAGGCAGCTGCTGGCGTCTTTGTTGGCGCAACTGGCGTCTTTGGAGTCTTGGCCGCGACCGCGGCCGCGGGTTTTGCGGTCACAGTTGGTGTCTTAGCCCTTGGGGCAGCCTTTGGAGTGGCTTTGGCCTTTGGAGTAGCTGCTTTCGGCGTGGATCCGCCCATTTTTGCCTGGTACTCCTCTACAGTACCCTTGAATAGCTCTCCATCTTCGCTCCCAACTTTGACTGCCACGTCGTATCTCGAATTCCAGCCATCAAAATGGACAATATAGCACTCGACACCTTTCTTCTGGGTGATATTGATCACTTTGGATTTGTAGGGGGTGCCTTTGGAGACGCACACACAGACCTCGCCTTTTGAGAACTTTGGAGTGGGTGGAGCCATAATCTGGAATAATTTTCATATTTAGTGGAAAAAATGGACCTAGGGGCCAGGAAAAAACGAGAAGAAAAGATGAAAAACAAGCGAATTGAAGAGAGGCGGAAAAGGTGGTAAATTTTTGAGGGTAAATTCAATTTTTCCTGACTTTCCGTTCATTTTTGAAGGATTTCAACTAAAAATTCGAGTTTCTCATCAAAAACTGTCCTTAGATACTTTTTTCGGTAGCACGAAAGCTCAAAAATAAACGAGTTGTACCAATGGAAGAGTTTTTGAAAAAGTTAGGCCCCCATCAGAAAACATCTCTAGAATCATTTTTAGGGCTTTCTAGATGCTCGAATAACTTTTCTAGGGGATTTCAGTCGTTTTTCACGTTCTTGGAGATCCAGGATAGATTTTAGGGCCGTGGCCGAGTTTTTGAAAAAGTTAGGCCATGTTCAGAAAACAGCCCCGGAGCCATTTTTAGGGAATTTTGAAAAAAAAGCCGCCATCAGAAAAAAAAGCCACCATCAAAAAATAGAGTCATTTTTGAAGTTTCCTTGAAGCGTAGGTAATTTTTCTAGCATAGTTTGGCCGTTTTTGACATTCTAGAATGTCCAGGAGGGTTTTTAGGGTGGTGGCCGAGTTTTTGAAAAAGTTAGGCCACCACTAGAAAATCGCTCAAAAACGAACGTCTAGGGTTATTTTTGGTGCTAAGCTCAAATTTTGACATTTCTATAGCGTTTTTGAAGTTTTTAAGGGTCCACAGTTGTTTTTGGGGTGGTGGCCGAACTTTTTCAAAATTTGGTTTTCTAGGCCATGTGTCAAAAATAGTTTTTCGGGCCATTTTTTGGTGGTTAAATCGAATTTCGCAACTGAAAATGATGTTTGCAACTCTGAATCCGTTAAAAAACGAGTTTTGGCATAGTGGCCGAGTTTTTGCAAAAGTTAGGCCACCAACAGAAAATCGCAAAAACACTGATTTTCGGGTCATTTATTATGTAGGCCATGTGCAGAAAAATGGCTCCCGGGACTATTTTTTGGCAAGTCTCAAAGGGCGAGTTTCAGAAAAAGTTGTTTTCAGACATTTTCAGTTTTTCAGAAAACGAGCAAAAAACGGATCAAAAAGATTCCAAAAAAAAAAGAGGAAAAAGGCAAAAAAAAGGAGAGAACAAGACAAAAAATCTATATTTTTAAAAATCAAACCAACAGTCAGAAGAATAGATCAAAAATCGAATTTATTGATTTTGGCGCCAAAATTTTTCAAAAAATTGGGAAAAAAATTTCCTGATTTTTTTTCTCCAAATTTGTGTTAAGACTAATTCCACTATGTTGATTCTGAATTTGCAATCAAAACTGATCTAGCGTTCGCCTGGAATGAGTTATAGCACCTCAAAGTTGAAAAATTTGGAGTCTCTTTAGGTAGGGGTTTAGTGTAGGGGTCATCACATTTCAAAAATTTGACATTTTTGAAAAATTCAAAAAACTGAAATTTAGTCCCTGAAATTCTCTACAAAATATCATAAAATTTGACTAGTTTTGAAAATTGTGAGTTGTGCATAAACGTCATTAAAGGTAGATGACTTGACGCCTCCAGAGTTTCAAGGCCCTAGGATCAGCTACAGTACCATAACTTCCTTCAAAATTAAAGTTTTCGAAAAATTCAAAAAATTTAATGTAGTCCTTGGGGTTCTCTACAAAATTACTAATAATTCACTTGACATCTTCTCTAGGAATTTCTAATGAGACTCCTTCGAAAAAGTTGATTCCAAAATCACCAAATCCTACACTCCTATCTTCAAAGGATCATAACTCAGTTCACAATAAAGCTAGCGAAATTTTAATTACATTTTTGGAATTCTCAAGATCCATTTGACTGGAAAATTATAAAGTTAAAATTGAGGTTTTCTGGAAATTCGGGTCATCTGGGGTGCTAAAAAACATCTGGGGGTTTCGTGATTTTTTTTTCGGGTTTCTGGCGAAGAAAACGTCTGCAAAGCTATCTTTTAGGTTTTACTGTGCGCTCACGTAGCTTTTCTAGGTATTTAGGTCGTTTTTGACATTTCAGGAGGTCCGGTGTGCTTTTTAAGGAAGTGGCCGAGGTTTTGAAAAAGTTAGGCCATCACTCCACAAATCGCTAAAAACGCAGATTTTGAAGTGGTTTTTCATGCTGAAATTGAATTTCAGCACTTCAAAATCGTTTTCTTAAGTTTTTAGGGGCCCAGAGCCATTTTGGGAGTGGTGGCCGAGGTTTTGCAAAAGTTAGGCCACCACTGGAAAATCGCGGTTTTTAGAGCTAAAATGTAATCTAAGTGTTTCTAGACTAATTCAACTACGCTGATTCCGAATTTGTTATCAAAATTGCTCTAATGTTCCACCAGAAACGAGTTATAATGTTCAGGAAATTTAGAAGTTTGAGAGCTGCCGCAAAAAGGGCCATAACTTTCTTAAAAATCAAAGTTTTCAAATGATTCAGAAAATATCAAATAGCTCTTGAAATTCTCTTCAAAGTGATATAAATTTTGACAAAACTCAAAAATTATGAATTCGGATTAGAAGTCATTAAAAATAGGTGCTAAACTAGCTTCGACTATTCCGGGGTTACTGTCCCTTAAAGGACCATAACTTCCTTCAAAATTGAATTTTTTCCAAAATTCAAAAACCCAAATATAGAACTTAAAATTTTCTACAAAACTATATATAATTTAGCTAGATTCCACTTTAGAAACTTTAAATTAGACTCCACCCAAAAAATGTACTCCAAAAAGCTCCTCTCCTATCTTTAAAGGCTCATAACTCAGTTTGCAAGAAAGCTAGCAGAATTTAGATTGCATTTTTGGAATCCTCAAAGTCCATCTAGCCAGAAAATCAATAAATCAAAAAATGTTTCTGGTGAAAATTGGGTCATCGGGTCATCTGGGGTGCTAAAAATCATCTGGGGGTTTCGTGATTTTTTTTCGGGTTTTTGGCGCTCAAACAGGGGGTTTTTTTGTCAAAAGGAGATGGGGGAAGAAGAGACAACTACAGTATTCTGAGTCTGACCAGAAAACTCAAGAAAGACTGGAAAAGAAGAAAACGCATGCAAAGACACCAGAGAGCGAGAGACTGATTGAGAGAGAGAGAGAGGATGAAGAGAAGAGACGAAAAACATATCTGGACCATTCGCACAGACATCTGTGTTTTACAGGCAGCTAGGTGAGTGTCCCCTGGTCATAATGAGTGACGTCACTTGTGTAGAGAAGTCGAGAGAGGCAGAAAGAAGGAGAGACGCAGAGAAAGTTGGAAGGGGGGGGGGGTGGGAAGAGGGGTCACCATCTGGCACCACAATCGATGCCACGTCATCTTTTATGGTTCACGAGTTATGAGGAAAAGGGGGGGTGTGCGGTCGAGCGCACTTGCTTTAGAAAATTATGAATAGGTTTTTTTTATGGGTCAAAAATAATAGATTTTTCGGGACTTTGGAATTATTGGTTTTTTTGGAATATTCAGATTTTTTTTTTGAAATTTTTGGTGTTTTTTCGAAATTCAAAAAAATTCCAAAAATGCAAAATTCAAAAAAAAAAATTTGATTTTTTTCCAAAATTTGTAAATTCTGAAAATTTCAGAAAAATACAATTATCCTCCGCATTTCGAAAATTTGGGAATTTTCAAAATTTGAAAAATTTAAAAATCCTTTAAAAAAATCAAAAACCCAAAAGTGTCGAAACAAATTTTGAATTAAAATTATTCAAAATTCCGAAAAAATTGAATTTCAAGTTTCTTAGAAAATAACTAAACAGTCCAAAAAACCAAAGATTTTAAGAAATTACCAATTTGTCCAAAACTCCAAAATTGCACTCAAAAATAAGACATTTTGAGTTCAAAATATCAAAAAAAGCTATTTTCTAAAGTTTTTCAATTTTTCGGAAAATTTTCCTCATAATACGAAAAAACCAAATTTCGAAATTTCTCCCTAACGAAAAAAAAACCAAATCATAACAGAATAATACCAATCGATACAATTTGAATCATAAGAGAGTCTTGTTTTTCAAATGTGTCATTAGGTCCGCAATACACCACGACGCACAATTGCGGACATAACACAAAAAAGAGTGTAGGGTAGCCCCGTGAGTGGCCGCTAGGACGTATAAAAGTGAGAAGAGAGAGGCGAGAGAGTGTTGGGGGCAGAGGAGGGTTGTTAGAGAAATGGGGGTATGTGTACACATAGGGTGAGAGTGTGTGGAAAGTGAGGAGGGTGGGTTAGAGAGAAAGAGGAAGAAGAGAAATGGGCAGTTGGTTGAATTTCTGAATTTCTGAAGAAACTGACAAAAAACATCACAATAATCTATCTACTGTACGCCTCAAAAA